CAGGGCAGACCTAAGCCCTCTGTGGGCCAGGTGTGGGCCTTGAGTTTGACACCCCTGGTAGAGGGCCTCCTGCTTGAGCAGGGGGCTGGACTAGAAGACCTCCAAGGTCCCATCCAGCCTGATTATCCTATGCTCTACAAAACGGACCTGCCCAGATATTAAGGTCAGTAGAAAGATGTGCAGTCCCTCCAGGATCCCTTTGTGATGATGGAGAGGCCTTGCCCACCCTGGGGGCTGTTCTCTGCACACTGCGTCCCGTTGCTCTGTGGCGCAACCCAAGCTCTTGGTTTGGAGCGGGGGTGGGGCTGAGCGTGGAAAGACCTCCTTCCAGGACTGGACTGGGCCACGGACGTCTCGGCTTTCGTCACAGGAATCCCGCCCTTCCTCTTCCCCTCGGCTTCTTCTGTAGCTCCAGAGCTGGTTTGACAAGCACTTCCGCGTCCCCCTTCGATTCTGTGGGGTTGGTCGCTTGAGCTTCCTCTAAGCCCGGGGTCTCCAGCCTTGGCTGCTGGAAGGTCTGTGGACTTCGGCTATGCTGGCTGAGGAATTCTGGGAGTTGAAGTCCATAGATCTTCAAGCCACCAAGGTGGGACATCCTTGCTCTAGGCCGAATGGCAGACTCACAGTTGTACCCAACCCTAATGACCCCACACCCTGGACTCCCCTGAGCCAACCAACTCACCAGCTTGGGTATAATAGTAGCACTCTGGAGTAGAAGCCTGGATGTCCAAGCAGAAGACTTGTCCTTTGAGGTAGACCAGCAGCCTGAGCACGAAGGACGCCAAGTACATGCTGAGGATGACGATGTCCAGGAAGTTCCACCAGTCAAGCAGGTAGCTGCGCAGCCCTTCGATCCAGACCTCCTTGCACTCAAACCAGAAGAAGCCTGAGAGGACAAGGGGGGTCAACACCAACAAGGCAGCTGGACGCGCTGGAGGCCCTGCCAAGGCCAAAGCCCCTTCTCTGCATCCTGGGTCTCCAAGAACAGGCTGGCTTCCATCGGTCCATGATCTCCCACCTCCCAAGGCCAGTTTCCCACAAAGCCGTACGATCTTCCCAAAGCCCCCCTCCCCCCTCTGCCCCCTCCCTCCCCGTTGAGTTCCCTTCAGGTTCTGTCCTGTCCCAAATGCAAAGGGTCCCTTCTTGCGGCCAGGTGGAGGCTGTTGAACAGGTCAAGCCATGTCTCTGTCAGGACAGCATCCAGGACAACACCGACCTCAACACTGGCAGCTGAGGGAACCCGTCTGATTCTTCCTCCCTCCCTCCTCCATCCCTCCTCCTCCTCCTCCTCTTCCTCCTCCTCCTGTCATACTTTATGATTCTTGACTCCTGACAAATGTATCTTTTCTTTTATGTACATTTACACCAAGACAAATTCCTTGTGTGTCCAGTCACACTTGGCCAAGAAAGAATTCTATTCTTCTATTCTATTCTCTCTTCTCTTCTCCTCCTCCTTCTCCTCTTCCTTTTCTTCCTTCTCCTCCTCCTCCTCTTCCTTTTCCTCCTTCTCCTTCTCCTCCTCCTTTCCCCCCTTCTCTTTTTCTTCTTCTCTGTTTTCCTCCTCCTCCTCCTCCTCCCCCCACTGGTGGTGACACCAACAACGAGAGTGAAGGATGTGATGGACAGACAGAAGGTGACAAGGAAGTGATGCCAGACCAGGCTGTCCGGCCACCGATGTCCTTCACTTTCAGGTCTCCCCTCTTCCTAGGGAGAATTGAGAAGGTGCCCAGGGGAACCTCGGCCTCCGGGAAGCCGCCCAACCGGGGCAGGAGGAACAGCCACCACCCCGCTTCCTTCCCCCCCTCACCCTGGGCCAGGGAAGCCGCCCAGCCGCCTACCTGCCACCCAGATCATGTGAATGGACGTCTCCCACATGCTCTGGTTCCGCCCCTTGAAGGAATCGTGGTAGTGCTCCAGGATCAGGGACTCCACCAGCAGGAAGACCAAGAACCAGACGTAGGAGGCCGAGTGCAGCAGGAATTTGATCACGGGGATCTTCAGCATTTTGCCAATCTGCCAGCCGGGAAGGAAGGAAGGAAGCAACCAGAAGGCCCTGAGTTTTCAAAAGTGGGTGGGGGGGAGCCCCCCCGAGGCTCCTCCGGGTCCCTCAAACTCCTCACCGTTCAAGGCAGCTGTTATGACTCAGCCTTCCATCCTTCCCTGGTTGCTAAAACGAGGACCCAGATGGCTGGGGGAAATATGCTGCAAAGCACTGCGAAGCGGCCTAAGTCTAAGTGCTATTGCTGGGGTTGGGATTCATAGCTAGAATGTCTGTCTGTGCAGCAACTACGGGTAGTATTCAGCCAGCGGATGGCAGTGTTTCCAAGTCTGGATCTATGGTACATACTCTATTCTATGCTCTTTTTTTAAAAGTAGTTTCCTGTTACAGTTATATAGTTGAGCAGTAAAGCACATGGTGACTGTGCTTCTTGTTTGCTCTGTGCTGAGATATATATATATATATTCTCTTGGGTGAGAAACGGAACGTCTTCAAAGAAAAAGACACAAAGTCCTGCTGCCTTTTGAAAAAACACCTTTGGGACAACTGTGGCCTGGATGACGGAGAATCTCCATAGACACCGGCTCAGCCTTCTCCAGCTGACTCCAAATCCCAGCATTCCTGGTCAAAACGGCCACTAGCTAAGAATCCTGGGGTTTGCAGTCCCGACACCATTGCAGAGAGCTGGCTCCTGGCTTTCAAAGAGCGGGGCAGGCAGCGGGGAGAACTTCACCCGCTGGGTATCTGGCATTCAAGATGTTCAGAGAAGCTGCAGATCCAACCCCCCCCTCCCTCCTGGGCTTTTGTGGTCATCGTGGTTTGGCCCGATCTGGACGTCCAGCCTCAGAGGTGGGATTCGGCAGGTTCGGACCGGTTCTGAAGAGCCGGTAGTGGAAATTCTGAGTCGTCCAATCCCACCTCTTGACTGGCCCCACCAACCCCACCTCTTCACTGCCTCCCACGGAGTCCCAGCTGATCAGCTGTTGCCCCGCCCAGGAGAA